ATTTCTAACGGAGAAATAATGTTATTTTTATAATAATTCTGAAAAAGGTGTCTAATTTTTGTTGCAAATTTGAGTTATCATAGTTTTTTGATTGAAATTACAATTTTAGTATAATTTTAGTTCCACTGCCAATATTAATATATATAAAATTATATAAAAAATGAAGCTCAATTTATTTGAACGAAACGAACACGAATTAGTCATTCAAAATATGCATCTTTTATAATACGAATAATTTTGTCAAAAGCATATAATATTAGGTCAGAATAGGAAAGAGATATGTTGTTGACCTAATGAATTTTAATAGTCCACGCAGAGATCTACGACAGGTGACAGGTTGTAGACAAAATATACCGACCTTGTAAAATTAATTATCTGAATAGCAGTGTATATTCGCGTAGTGTAATCTAAACAGGGTTCATGTTAGGTTGAAATATAGCCAAGTCTATCATCGACATGTTAGTAACAGTGAATATTATACTGAAACTGTCGGGAACAAACTCCCTATCCCTTTCTTTTATGAGAAGCGAGCAGGTTCACGGACGTATCTGTTTTCGGTACGATAGCGTGACGTTCTATGGTTGGTATTTCGATAGGAGAAATCCGAGATATATCGAAAGTTGTTATATCGCTTTCCACCCCATTGTAATTATCTCAAACTCATTATATTTTAATAGTTAGGGTGGTCGGATAGCCATTGTAGCCGCTGATGTTGTTTTTAATTATATTCTGGAAAATGGCCATTAGCTGAAATATTGAATGCACAATTTAATAATTGGATCGGAATTTCCGGTGTCGATAAGATCCTATTTATTTCTGTAGTTTTCTTTGGGACAAAATTTGTACAGCAATTTTTACTGTGAATTACTACGGAAGCACTCATCAAATCGTCACTTTCATACTTTCACGATTCCTTTGGCAGACGTTCGTATCCTAAATACTATCATCGCATCGCTCACTATACCCTCTATCGTACCTGACAGTAGACGTGACACGTGATGCTTTTTCACGTTATTCTGATAGAAATAGATAATTGGAAACCTATTAGGCATTTTTTAAGCTATATATTTTTATGTAAATTTTATATATATTTATTTATATAAAATATATAATAAATAAAATATATATTATATATATAGTTTTTATATATTTTATATATATGCTGTATATTTTTCAGTAAATGTATGAAAATATTAAAACGATTTAACATTATTGAAACAACAATATAGAGGAAAATGCTATTATTTTAACAATTCAATGATATTTTAACAACGATATGCATAGATAACAGCAACAGGATTCAACAATTTTGATCTACATATGAACAACAATAAAATGATTCGATAACGTTTGAACAACAATATAGAGAACAGCAAATCGATTCAATAGTGTTTAACTAAGTGAAAAACAATGAAACGATTTAATAATATGTTCAAGGACGTTTTCAACAACGATCTAGAAAATAGCAAAACAATGGCATCACACATGTTTTAACAAAAATATACGATAACAATAACACGAAGAACATACAAAAATTGTATAAAACGTTGAAATAAGTGGTCAGTTCCTAATGTACTTCCTGCACGCACCTGTTTTCCCAAGGAATATAAAAAATCGTCCGAACAGATTGCAGCGATATCTGATTTAACCGGATNATTTCTAACGGAGAAATAATGTTATTTTTATAATAATTCTGAAAAAGGTGTCTAATTTTTGTTGCAAATTTGAGTTATCATAGTTTTTTGATTGAAATTACAATTTTAGTATAATTTTAGTTCCACTGCCAATATTAATATATATAAAATTATATAAAAAATGAAGCTCAATTTATTTGAACGAAACGAACACGAATTAGTCATTCAAAATATGCATCTTTTATAATACGAATAATTTTGTCAAAAGCATATAATATTAGGTCAGAATAGGAAAGAGATATGTTGTTGACCTAATGAATTTTAATAGTCCACGCAGAGATCTACGACAGGTGACAGGTTGTAGACAAAATATACCGACCTTGTAAAATTAATTATCTGAATAGCAGTGTATATTCGCGTAGTGTAATCTAAACAGGGTTCATGTTAGGTTGAAATATAGCCAAGTCTATCATCGACATGTTAGTAACAGTGAATATTATACTGAAACTGTCGGGAACAAACTCCCTATCCCTTTCTTTTATGAGAAGCGAGCAGGTTCACGGACGTATCTGTTTTCGGTACGATAGCGTGACGTTCTATGGTTGGTATTTCGATAGGAGAAATCCGAGATATATCGAAAGTTGTTATATCGCTTTCCACCCCATTGTAATTATCTCAAACTCATTATATTTTAATAGTTAGGGTGGTCGGATAGCCATTGTAGCCGCTGATGTTGTTTTTAATTATATTCTGGAAAATGGCCATTAGCTGAAATATTGAATGCACAATTTAATAATTGGATCGGAATTTCCGGTGTCGATAAGATCCTATTTATTTCTGTAGTTTTCTTTGGGACAAAATTTGTACAGCAATTTTTACTGTGAATTACTACGGAAGCACTCATCAAATCGTCACTTTCATACTTTCACGATTCCTTTGGCAGACGTTCGTATCCTAAATACTATCATCGCATCGCTCACTATACCCTCTATCGTACCTGACAGTAGACGTGACACGTGATGCTTTTTCACGTTATTCTGATAGAAATAGATAATTGGAAACCTATTAGGCATTTTTTAAGCTATATATTTTTATGTAAATTTTATATATATTTATTTATATAAAATATATAATAAATAAAATATATATTATATATATAGTTTTTATATATTTTATATATATGCTGTATATTTTTCAGTAAATGTATGAAAATATTAAAACGATTTAACATTATTGAAACAACAATATAGAGGAAAATGCTATTATTTTAACAATTCAATGATATTTTAACAACGATATGCATAGATAACAGCAACAGGATTCAACAATTTTGATCTACATATGAACAACAATAAAATGATTCGATAACGTTTGAACAACAATATAGAGAACAGCAAATCGATTCAATAGTGTTTAACTAAGTGAAAAACAATGAAACGATTTAATAATATGTTCAAGGACGTTTTCAACAACGATCTAGAAAATAGCAAAACAATGGCATCACACATGTTTTAACAAAAATATACGATAACAATAACACGAAGAACATACAAAAATTGTATAAAACGTTGAAATAAGTGGTCAGTTCCTAATGTACTTCCTGCACGCACCTGTTTTCCCAAGGAATATAAAAAATCGTCCGAACAGATTGCAGCGATATCTGATTTAACCGGATACTTTACACTCGCGGATCTTTTGATGATGCAGGGTCGCAAAAGCGAGTCGAGTTCGGAGGGCGTGAACGTGAACAATTCCGCCGGAAGCGACGGCAGCTCGTCAAACCAGCAGAGGTCTTCTGCCCGAAAGATGAGCGGAAGTCGATCGATCCGCACGATCTCGCGAGATTGCCACGGCCGGTTGACGATGCTGGTGAAGTCCGGTTCGTTTTCGGGGTGCACCGCCCATCAGGAACTCTCGGCCGAGAGGACGATAGCCAGCGACCCGACGCCGCCGTTCAGATTACCCTGCTGTACTTCGGTGGCTTCCACGTCCGAAACCGAGGGCGAGGATCAGCGCAATTGCACGCGCGGTCGCTTCCCGTACACCGAGAACCTGCTCGACACCGTTCTCAGCAACAAGGGGCTGCCCAATCATCAACTGAACGTCGACAGCGACGTGGAGATGAACAGCCTAGGCAACACCTCGATCTCCGATCCGGCTTGGGATAATTATCAGGTAAAGATGTACTGTCTCTCGCGTGTACGATGCGAGGAAACTCTCCTGAACGCCGGTTTATGAGAAAGTTTTCTCCCCAGCTGTAATAGCTGATCCGGTCCTAGACGCTGGACGATACTAAACGTAATTACGGAACGGAGAACACTGTACAACAACATTTCAGATTTGGCAGGCATCTAATCGAACCCGGACAATTTTTAATGAGACACGAGCCTCTTTAACTTGCAACGAGAGGTCCCTAAGTGCAACTCAGAAATTCAAGTATAAATTTTAGATTATAATGAATTTTCAATCAAATTCTAAATATAAATTTTGAAGATTCGAATACTGAAGCTAATGGTACCCGTTTTTGGGGACAGAAGATTAATAGTTTTTGAGATATTTAACGTTAAAGTTTATCTCTTTTTTTTGGATGTACGTGTGTAGTTGATTATTTCAATAAATAATTAAGTAATAATAACATAAATAGTGTAGTCCATTTTATTGTTTTGTTTTAATTTTAAAATGCAAATGAAGCTTGTCTCTGTTCAACTAATAAACATATTCTTAAGGGAATAGTATTATGAATAAAAATATGAATCATAAAATATATTTTCCTGGAGAAAGAAAAAGAAGATATGTATGTATTAATGTATTTTTCATGTAAAAGTTTTACGTACTTACCTAATAATGGCCTAATATACTATATAATATTCGTCCAATAATTGTTCTACTAATTTTTAGTAATTTTAAAATGATCAATTAGACGTGTATTTTTAGAGTTGAAGGAAAACTTTGACGGTAATTATCTTAAAAACTGAATCAAAAAGTCAGAGATACAATTGGGATGATGGAACTTTGAAAGATGATAACTTTCAAACATGATAACTTTGTTAATTGTTCACAGTTGTGATCTGCTTTCCGGAAGAAAACTCTTTAAATATCTTGCTAGTTTAAAGTAAGAAGAATGATTGTGTCTCTTAGTGCAGATATGTGTTGTACAGTGTAAAACTACACGATTCTCTAAAATATGACGAACAAATTTTCGGAATTAATGTTGTTATATTTGTATAATGTTACACATAAAAATGAACATGAAGATTTCAAGAAGAATTTCCGATTGGAAATTTGACATTACATAAATTTAGAATACTTTCATTTTAAAGGCTCGAATATAATAAAGAAACATTATTAACACGAGAACTGTTAAATATTAAATATTATCTTTTAAAAAACGTTAACCATTTTTAGCCATCCGATAATTCTGGTATTAACGATGTTGGACTATCGCTAGTATAGTGTTAATTTTCCCTTCTCCAATTGATTGTCCCGTTCAATTGCTTACGAATCCTTTTTTAATATTATTTGTTGATCTGTTTTTGCTAGGAAAAGTATTCGAGTGAGCCATACAGCGAAGCCCTGGACGTTGAAACTGCTCGAAGATTGCTGGACTTTGGAGACGATTACCGAAACTTCCTCGATAGTCAGTCCGATTGTGCTTCCAGTATGAGCGCGGTTCCCGCTAGTTCTTCTCCACTGCCTAGAAGTCGTATGCACCATGTACGTTCCATTCTCTTCTTCTTTTTCGATCAAGTGTCCGTATTCTTTCTGTGACAGATAACACTAAACCTACCGAGCACTGAAAATGGCGGATGATGCTTTAGAAGAATAGTAAAAGCGAATTTATTTCAACTGTCCGTCATTTTTATTAGTCTATGCTTGATATAAGAAATTTATTCAGTTATTTTCTGTGAAAGTGTCTCTATAATTGCAACAATTTTCAAGTAGTTTTGCAACAATTGCAAGTAGGTTTAGTGTTAAGTCTGCAGACAATCACCTCCTTCCTATTTTGAAGATAATACATGTAGTGTAGATTAACACATAATTTTTTTGCTTATTTTGTGAATAATGCAGGGGGTAACGTTAGCATACGATGCATCTTTCTTTTAAAAGCTGTCTGTATCTAAGTATATAATTGTGTTAGTGGCTTCCATTGACTAGAATTGTGTTCACGTACATTTTTTTAAATATTTTTTCTTGCATAATTACACGCATCGCCTTAGTGTTATAATGCTCGACTTATATGAAAATGATAATATCGATGAAGCAATCGTTTGTACGTTGCTGTGAACAGAATGTAATTCCACTACAGCAAATAAAGCTTTGGTTGAAATGTGTGTCAATAAGAGAACGGTTAAATATTGATAATGAATTCTTTCTTACCTTGCAACCTGACACCGAGTTATTACCTTGTTACATGACCTTTTTAAACTAGTTCTTTATTAACGTACTTTATAGGAATCATATGTTGGGTTTATTTATTCCTTCTCAGCTTTATTTTGTTCCTCTATGATGAAAATATTGATTTTTTTACATAAAATGATAATAGCAATTCGAAGTACTCAGTTTCTTTGGTTGGATATATACATTTGCTAGTTGAATTTCTCCATCTCTTCTAAAGAGTTCTGCGAGGCGAAGGCGTCTGTACGCTGACCATCTCTTAACAAGGGTAAACGATGTAATTACGGGCATCGTCGTCGCTGTAGATGTTCCTTTGTAGTCGACTACATTTGGCATGATTTGGAATTTAGACGACGCAGACAAATCACATGTAGCTGTGAATTTTATATTTCTTGATAATTTAACCATGATATTACTAGGCAAATTGATATTATAGAAATTATTATTTTCCCTTCTAAATATACTGGTATTTTTGTCACATTTTTTTTTATCAATCTGTATGATTTAATTTTATAGTCTCGGTTCTTGTATGTAGTTTCTATACACTTTATAATTCACATTTCATCTTGGAAAATTATTTGTCACAGCACGACTGCAGCAGGTTCATTTTTTGCTATTACTTTGATGTAATGATTTATAAACGTATCATATAACTGTGAGACCACTTTGTTTGCAGAAGATCAATTCGTTAGCTTGATTTTAGTATATGGTAGATAGAAATGATAAGCCATCTTGTGGCAGTACGTTTCTGATCAAATACGGTCTGAGCACCACTGGCATGAGTCCACGAAAATATTAGATTCTCTGCTTGACTCCAATATCTTTCAATTAGTGGTACACGATGATCACTCTTACATTCACTTAGTATATTTTCTTAAAGCCATCATTTTTGTGTAGTTCATCACAATAAGAAATTGCTGTTTTAACAATAAAATGAAAAATGTAAAATAGATATAAATAATTATACTGTTCTGTTTAAGAATATTAGAATATGTTTAAAGTCCAATCGTGGGTAGAAACCGTTTCAAATAGTCCTGTACAGATTTCTGTGAAGAAAAGAAGTAACAGTTACTACCATGAAGTAATTTTCTAAATAATATCGCTTCTAAATTAAATAACGAAGTCAACAATGTTATTGATTATAGTCACATTGAATTGTCCACGTTTTTCTCATCTAATTTCATGATTTTAAAAACTAGAGCATGATTTAAGAATCATTATTATTTAGTTAGTTATTGTAAGCAATAAAGTAACTAAATTGTTGTAATGAATCCCATTTCAATTTTCACTAGAACGTCTAAAGTCCTTATGCATGAAGAATTCATTGTTTTTAAATTAATTATAAATAAGGGTTCACAAACATCCTATTATTTAGCATAGTAGAGCATGTTAATGCGACCAAATCTAAAATAGCATTGAAAATATTAAAGATGACGTATTGAATATGTTGCAGGAAAGCATTGATAGCTCAGAGGAGAGCGACAACGACGTGGATGACATCCGTAACGTGGTGGAAAGGTCACAATCGCAATTATCTCTCGCCGAAAATCTGTTTCTAAGGTCGAACACCGGGACAATGCCCGATGACTGCGTACGTATATTCCCATCGGTGTTACCGTTTCTGTGTTTACCGGTGCAGATGCTGTTTAAGGTATTTAAAGCTGCGCTGAAAAGAATTCGAGGCATTACCTGCAATTTCTTCCGCAAAACCTTTGTACGTTTGTGCGACGGCGTAAAGTATGTTTGTCTCCATATAACAACGCTCGCCTCACGTTTTATTTATATTGCTTTGAGTGCTCTTGGCTTTTACCCCTAACTGTATGATCGGTGTTTCGACTGCGTGTGGACGTTGTGACAACGTTCGCGTTGTTTCGAATGGTGGTGTTGTGTATTGTAATAATCCACATCTATCTAATAGATCTATCTTTGAACACTTGCTATTCTATTTAACCTTTTCTGTTGCTTTGATATGACGACTTTTTTTGTACGACTTTGAACCGTTTGAATCCCAAGCAGCGTGATCGCGATGTTTAGATTTTGTGTCGAAAAGAGACCCAGGACACAGATTGTCAAAGTAGGGCGCTCAACTTTACTCACGAACGTACGTCGTGTAGCTGTCTTTTTTAAATGTAAATAATGCAATTTTTTAATACAAATTTTTGTTTAACAAAACTTGAAATATTTATGAACTAATAGTACGCATATTAAGACAAGCGCTATCACGCTGTTCGGCATTCTTTGACAGTTTTTTTTTTTCAACAATCCCTAGGACTCGAACGGTTAAAATCATTGTAAATATACAACGGGTACAGTGTGTGGATTTTATGAGATAATTTTTATACTTGTGTACGGGATAAGACAAGGCTGGTATATGGACTTTGAAAGAATATTTTTCTAAACTGGCTGGAACGATGACCATTGTAAAATATAAATAAAGATGACTTCGACGAACCTGTTTACTTTAATACTGTTACAAGAATTTTAGTGACCATTCTTATTCTAGGATTTATCAGTGACAAGTATTATGAATTAATGAATATTACTTTATCGTTTGCGACAGCTTACCTATGCACAATCACAATTTTAAATCAATCGATGGAGATTGTACTTACTGTTATAAGAGAGAATATATTACATTGATGATATTATATTCTAACAATGACCTCTACATGCGAAGTATAACTACGCCATACGACACTTGTGATACCTTGTTCTACCTTGAAATGTAAACATTTCACGGTAGAAGTGTGCTTTAGGCAAACTGCGTGTAACAACCTCTGCTTGCATGTTTACCGCTGCTTCTGCCTTTATTCTGTTTTCGCAACGTGTCCCGCTGTGACACTGTCGCCAAGTCACAGATAAACACACCAATTTGGTGTTTAGATCTCGAGCTTGGTACATGGACGCTTTCTCGTATAGCTCTTGCACAGGTATGTTATGTTCATTATACAAATTCAGATTTGCATGTTAGACGCAGGATGTGTTTGTGGTTCTCGATTGTTTGTGTAGTACAATTTTATGGTAAAAATTCGGTAATACTTCAGGGTTTTATCATGTATGAAATTGCATTGTTTAACGACAATTTGCCTACTTAGTTGCACATAATCCCTTGTATAATATTGGATAAATAAAAATAAGTAGAATAATATTAAGAAGAATGCTAGTTTTAATTAATTAATTCTTGACAGGAAATAAAACTTTGAACTTGAGGACATTGAACTTAAAGGACTTGGTCTCTTAATAATTACTTTCCCGTGGTATCTTGTATTTATCTTGAACTCTTTTGTAATAAATTTATTAGGTAATAAAAAAAGACATTTTGATATATCGTTCACAATAGAAAGACTGAATAAATTTTTATAATATTCTTATATTATAAAAATATAAGAATAACAATTTATAATATTCTTATAATATTCTGTAAATAATGATTATTAGCTTAATAACAACAATGTTTACTTAGGAATAAGTTGCCGAGTCTTGAGGCTTGTTTTATCTCTCTCAATTTTTAATCGGTTTATTAGAACAGTGTATAATTGTTCTTACTACTGATTAATCGAGGAATCTTATTTTTCCGTTATGATTCTTGTAATTAAATCTGAGTATGTTGTAAACATGTAGAGTTAAAGATAACAGACAACTATGCAATAAAAAGTTGAGTAAGATGAAACTGAATAACTCTTAAAATTTTCGAAAAGTGAGCGGAAACTTTTCTAATATAGCCAGTCTAATGTAATCTAATATAAATAACTGTATTATAATTTTGAGGTAGCAGCGGTTACGTGGATTACAAGCTGACTTATACTTTTGTGTTTTAGACCGAAGTTGAGTACGCGTGCAGAGAAAATCTGAGGTGTCTTCACGCGCTAATGGAATCCGTGTGCAATTCATTCAGAAGTGAAAAATACGGGAAACAAATTCGTGGTGAGTACAAGAATCAAAATGACCGTCGATCACTATCTATATCGCTGTCGTACATGACCGCTGTATTGGTCACTGCATTGAGCGGGCTCGTATTCCTGCTTCTCTCTTAAATCTATCAAATTCAAACTTTCCGACTCCGTCTTGAACAGTACCATGAAGGGAACGAATAATAAACGGCTTTATTCCGAGACTTAATTCTCCACTAATGCGAACTTCATTTCACTTTTACTACACTGATCGCAGTTTGTACGCACTTCATAAAATTTTCCCGTCTATTAAAAATAGCGTCTTCCAAATCTGATATTATATTTTATACATTCAACAGACTTTAGGTTCTGTCAGTTGCATGTTAATTTGTTAACCGGGTTCGCTCTGTATTCATCGTTTTCTTATCCAATTTTCGAATTTTTTGCTGATTGTAACTGTATTCATTGTTTTTTTATTTTATGTGACATAAAATAATATTAATCATATTATACAAATTACAATTGATCGTTTAAATATCGACTGTTTTAGATTGATTAATTTTTCTGAAGGTATATCAAATCATTCAGAAATGATTCTACTTGAGCATTTTGGGAGTGGTTAAAATTTCGTTTTCACGTTTTGTCTGTTCGCATGAGTATTCATGGTCGTCGTATCACCCGGTTAACAGGTTGACCAATTTGCACATTCAAAGAATATAACGATGAACAATCATGATGAAAACTTCGTCAAATTTATTCGTAGATCCCTAAGATCGACAATAATGAATTTGTACATACTTATCCGCGTTACCTTTCAAAGACTGATATGACGAGTATTAGCATATGAATTATGCATTTATATTTTGCAGTTATACACGATAGATATTCGTAAGACTCTTGTACACGTTTGGAGTGGTATAATTAGTGTCTTTTTTTCATATTTTTCTATGTGCTGTAGTTTGTAATAACCAACAATTATCTATTTAATATATTGAAATTCTGACATTTACGTTCGGCGTACTGGAATGATTAAATTTTAATACATACATTCGGTACCCGGAGGAGTTTTGAGTGTTCGATATATGGTTATAGCTTGCGCATAACGTATATACACGTAAGTGCATGTTGAAATTTGCCTGTATCGTAAATTAATCATTTGCATGCTGTGTAATGAATTTCTTTTGCATATGAAAACGTTCACCCGGACTTTGTCATCCTTGGCAAAATGTTAAACGGCTTCGATGCAATTTAACAATAATGTGATGTGTCAAATTGATTTCGAAGTGATTAAAAGATAAAATGTTTTGGGACAGTGTTAAGCAACGATCGCTATTTTCTTCGGAAAGAATGCAGCAATGCAGAAAAATTTCGCGTTAGTGAAGTGAAAACGTATGTATATCCTCTGTATACTAAGGTTTATACCATACTGATGTTTAATTTTTTTTATCGGCAGACGTTTATATAGACGTTTTATATAGACGTATATTATTTTAATTAATATCATCCTTGTTATTTTTGCTTTATTGCAACGAACATGGGTTGCGATTGTAATAGACCTTTAGAATATTTTCATTTTTAGTTGACATTTGTGTACACGTTCATTGTAATTATTATATAATAAATACTGCTTTGTTGTGGCTTCGTACTAATTATTCTCTTGTTTCTTTTTTTTTACCTGTAGAAAGTATTATTTAGTTTCGATGTTGTTATTACTCGACCGATCCTCGTAGCATTTCAGCGTATTTATTCGTCATTTCGAGTCTGCTAATTTTAATTCAAGTTTCCAGTAAATTAAGGATGACTTAAATGAATGAATTTACCACTTTTATTTTAATAATTTTGCAAATGTAATTGTCACATTTATTATTTGTATGCGGTTGTAATAAAATCATTGTGGAATCGATCTCGTTCACGTTCGAATGCTATTATTTATATTTCAAGTCAACTATAACGGCTCCGGTGCAACATTTGTCTGAATGCAGCATGATAGTTTTACGAAAGTTTTTAGTTATGCACATCGAATTTATCTTCCTGATTTCTATAGCAAGTAGACGTTGACTGACATGTAAGCACGCAATACAATTAGTTCTGCTAAACGCCGAATTTTTTCGTACGCCTAATTGGAATCCGCATGAAACGTATTGAGATCACTCAGTTCTGTAAGGCTGAATATTATTTTAATCTAAAGTGTTACAATAATAAACTTTTATATGATTTTATAATTTATAATGATAATAATAACAGATAGACATATTTGTATAATATATAATTACAGTAAATAAACGAGGAAATAATAAACGAAAGAACGAACAATATAAACAATAAATAAATAATAAATACATCTTTATTAAATAAATCATTATACAAGTACATGTTGCAAGAATATAAACGAAATGAAACATAAGCTGCCATAGTCTAAAAACGTCAAATATTTTTAACTTTATTAACACTTTTGTTTCATTCGTTGTCACAAATATTATTTTGTGAATTAAATGGAATAAAAGTTCATATTCGATTAATGTAGTAATTTCTATATTATTGTATTGTTATAATAAGCTACTTTTACTGAATCGTTATACATAGGTCATAATTCCAGAGACGTGA